AACGAGAGGGGAAATTTATTGAAACTTTCAGAATGCCCCCAAATAGCGTTTTTTTCCATATTAGTCTATTAAATCTTTGCATTTCACTCAATATTGATTTCCATTTTTTATAATTTCAAAGTAGTCCTGAATTTCATTAAACTTTATATTGGTTCCCTCAAATTTTATATGTTCTTCCAAATTAGTCCCCTCCATTAAAATTTTAGTCCAAAGCATAATCTTGAATGGTTATTTACCATTATCCTCACTAAACCGGTTCTAGAGTTGAGAGAGGAACTAGCCCTCATAGAATGGGTACGGGGTAGAGCTTAGTCTTAGCGGGGAAGAAAATGGTTTCAATGGCTATAGATTTTAAACATATTTGGGTGTTAACGATTTTTATTGAGATGGGTACAGGTAAATATAAGGGCATAACCGAAACTCATTGTTAAAAAGTTACTTTAACAAGTTAATTCAATCGCTCTTCAATTTGCAAAATTAAATGGCCAGAAATGAATTCAATCAGAATGTGACTCCTTAAGTCTTAATTCACATGCTGCATAGTGTCATTCAAATCCCTCGAGCTTTGATTGGATTGATTGGTGAATGTTAGCTTTTGTTCAAAGTTTTCACAACCATTTCGATTCAACATATCAGAAGATCTGGTGATTGTTGTGCACATATGCTTGCTCAATTTCCTATTACATACAAATATTTCTCTCGAATCTCCCTAAAGGTCCTAATTATATCTATAATCAAATTTTCTATAAATCTATACATTAGAATCCTCGCTTAGGACACTCCCCACCCCCAACAAAAGTTAATTAAAAAAATTTCTTGCGAAGAAAATTGTAGCAACCTCGGGGGGCAATGTTTGAAAAACTTTTAAGATTTGGGGGACCAAATAGCAATTTCAATTATTCGAGGAATTAATTTTGAAAGTATTGAAGATTTAAGGTACTAATGTCAATAAATACCTAAATTGTTTAGCACGGTTTTGGGTCCCATCTGTCAGCGAAATTGTACCATGCCCGACTGCATGGAGAAGAAGAGAGAAACTTCGTAATACGCATTTGATCCACAATGTGAATAATACAATGAGCATTTTTGCTGAGCATGCACAGCAAGCATCTATAGTACAATTGTGGTCGTTCTCCAACCGAATTGGCATTCGAGTGTTGAATTCACGAACTCATATCATGATGTCAGACCTAAAATAAAGACTAACATTTTAGTTTTGAATTCGTATCAAAATTTTAGTATTAAATGGATATTTCTTGTATCTGTCTAGTATCTAATAGGTTTACGCTTTCTTGAGCGAGATGAGAGAGAAAAGACAAAACGGACAGGAGAAAGACTATTTTTTAGTAACTTTTCATATTAATTAATGTGGATTTTCATGTTTACCGAGTGGAAGTATGACAAAAGTTCCTTGAGAGGAGGAACTTGTTTTCTTACAGCCCAGGGGTGGAGGCAATTTTCTCTTCATCCTTTGGAACCAATCGCGTCCAAGTAGATTAGCGTATTCTCATCTCCTATCCTATTCATAGACCTTTTCCAAGTCATAATCTATTTCTCTCACTTTTATAGCCGAATCCACAATATTATCCATAACAATCTCATACATACGCATCCCCAAAACTTCGCGACTCTGGGCTCATATGTTGAAGAAAAGCGATGCAACCAGAGAATAGATCCCTGAATATTGATTTACTTGTTTGACTGCTTCTGAATAGTTGGAGGTAGAATTTTGATTGTGAATGATTTCAATATATCTAGACAAAAATTTAAATGAATGTAATATATCATGGGTAGATGGTAGTCGTATTTGAAATGTATCATAATGATATTAAATAAATGAACAATTATGATTTCTCTAACTTATCGTCCATACCATTTAATATGTGCAAGCACAAGAAAAAAAGCAAATTTTGGTCTGTAAAAAAATAAACGTACATACAAAAATAAACTAAATTCAGAAGGAAAAAAGAATCAAATTTCCTTATTTCCCTATCAAAACACAAATTTACACATTTGAAGGGAGAAAATATATATATATATATATATATATATATATATAAATATATATATATATTGTATGTTCAATAATTAATATCCGCTTTCCCTCTCCCCTCTCTTTCAAAATGCAAAACAAAACCAACCCTTCTCACAATCCTCTACTATCTCACTCCCTTTGTAACTAAATCCATCATATTATCCATAACAACCCCAAAAGCATCCCTAAACCTCACAAACTCGGAGCTCGAATCCCCATACACCAAACCAGGCATGAGCTCATACACTATAAACCTCCTCATCTCCTTCCTCTCCTCATAGCCAACACTCTTCAACCTCTCAACCACATCAACTTTCCCGTGTCTCACCTCTTCTTTATCGATAAATACTGAATATTTCCTGTGATCCTCAGGCAAATGCCACGGATACTGATAGTAAGCAGTGAACGGATCGAAGAGGACGGGGATGCAGCCGGAGATTAGGCTATCGAATACTGATTTTCTTGTGGGGCTGTCTCCTGGAGGTTGGAGGCAGAACTCGGAGTCTGTGAATGACATGATTAGTTTGTCTGGGGTTGAGCAGGCACCAGAGCTACAGTTAAGGAACCTGTTGATGGATACGGATGAATATGATTAAGGTCTTTGACAGATTTTTTCCATTTTAAGGAAAATTGTTTCTCGCCCTTAGGATTCGAATTACGACTTTCATTGAACAGTTTTTCTATTTTTTTTTTTTTGGTGCAAAATATTTTTGTCCCTGTGTTTGTACTTCGTGGTGATCCTTGCTGTTTTAATTTATCTACGAAGTCATTAGTAGATGCTACTCATATGTATGCATAAATTTCATTTTAGTAGGAACATGAAGTTAAACCCGAAAAATTTTAATAACAAAAAAATGAAGAATAAAAGAAAAGGTGAGGGTTTAATTTCTGCCGGTTTATTTAACAGGAGTTTCAGTGCAAAGTGCCTGATTGAACTGCAAATATCTAACTACTATCTGACTATATCTCTAATTCCCTATAACTAATGCTTTTTAATTCACCTTTTACTTATTGTGCATGACCTGACTAGTCACTGTTATTAGTTAGATAATGTAGCAGACAGACATCGTTAATTAGTTAGTTTAGCTCTATTTTAAAACCTCTGAAGATATCAGCATTTTGCTATGGAATCTGAAGAATATATATATTGTGGGAGTACTTTCCACGAGAAGTTCAAAATTTCTTACCTGCAATCATCACTATTGGCAACACAATTCTCAATTAACAGAGACCTAATACTCTCCACCTGCTCAGGCCTCGCCGCCCCTGCAAAAGTCACAAGATTCTTCCTCCCTGACCACCCGATCTTATTCTGCCACTCAACAACATCAGAATCCCCCTTCGGATGAAAATGCGTCGGATGAGGAATCCCAACATCCCTCACTTCCCAAGGCTGCCGTTCAATCAAGAACTTATACGGCGCTTTCATCTCATCCATCATCAAGAAGTTGCTCCCCCAAGAATCACCCTCCCTCCTTCGAAAATCCCACGAAATCTTGCCCAAAACAAACATATGATCTCTTCCTCCATTCTTCGTCCACGAATTTTGTGCCTCAAGCCACTGTACAAGCTCAAGCCCCAACATGTCCTTTGTTTCAACCGAAACATTACTGAAATGCCATCTCAAAATATCAAGTCCACCATAAAATGGTACATAGAACAATTTTGCGTTGTTAGGCTCCAAAACGCGACAAGGATGCTTTAGGATTCTAGAGTGGAATATGAGCTCGAGGGAGTATTGATGTGTTCGGTAAAAGCTCGGGCCTAGGTTGGATATGCGCTCGCCTTTACCCTCGTTGACAAAGTAGTTGCATAAATTTGTCCAAGGGAGGAGATTGTTGCACTGGGATAGGAGGTCGCGGTTGAATTTGGGAGGGAGGTCATAGACAAAGATTCGCCTCCCATCGCACGATTTTCCTGCGGTGGGCCCATCAGAGGCCCAGGATCGGATTATGTTAAGTCGTTCACGAACGATTTTGTACGCGTTGCCTCTCTCAGTCTCCTCTGTCGAGTTATTCATGACGATAAATTTGGAGATGTTGTCGTCTATATGGTTGAGCGTGATGGGATTTGAGGTGTTGGGAGGGAGGGGAGGGTGGCTGAGGCCGCCGGAGATGCAGTAGAGATCGAGCTTGGGGGAGGAGATGCAGATGTGGAAGGAGGAGGAGAGGAGGGTGGAGGTGCACCAAATTGTTAGGAAGAGGAGGAGGATGAAGGTTGGGGAGATTGAGAGGGTTGAGGACTTCGTTTTTGTTGAACTTGTGGAGATTTGGTCTCTAATGGCTTGGTGCAGGGGGTCCGAGGTCCGCCTCCGAGGAAAAGAAGAAGGAGCCATTGTTTGTTGTTGTTCTTCTTCTTGGTGGTGAAGTAGCCATGAATTAATGTTTGATCTTGTTAATATGTAAGTGTTAGGGTTGTAATATAACATGCATGCACGTTTGTTACGAGGAGGCACGTTCAGGTGATAGAAGCGTGTGCGCATGTATTAATTTTGCGGCCTACCATCGGATAGAATATGTAACTAGTAGGTACCTGCTTGTGATGAATATTGGAGGTGGGTGTGGAATTGGTGGATTGCATGTTTAAGTGGACTTCCCCTTTAATTAAGACTGCCCTTGAGTATGTGTCAATTTGGAAAATAATTTTCCATTATATATAATACATGCGAACAACTATACTGCAGGAGTCTGTAGAACAAAGATATGTTATTGCCTGGTCCACATGGGAAATGCATGTGTTGAATCCATCTACGACAAAGGATATGGAGAACTCGCAGTGCATTTATGGCGTGTTGTTAAAGACAAAACAATAGGTCGTTTGTACTGCGGAGGGCCAAAGTATTTAGTATCTTCTGCGGTGGTAATCTTCTTTATAACATGATGTAGCTCATAATTAAGACGAGGATATGTTATTGGTAAATATGGCCTGCAATAAAAAAAAAACATAGAGGATTTGTATCATTTGTGGTAGTTTGGGATTGCAAAGTATGTCAGCTCAAAGGAACTTACTTTTCCGCGTCTCGTGCACGTCAAGTGGGAGTTCCTATATTTTCATAATCATCAGCAAGAAGAACAGGGTGTCAAAGCAAATCAAACCTCCCATACCCACAAATGTAACATGTTGTGCGCGGCGGAAGCTCGAAACCATACGAACAAGAAGGAGATAAATCGCAACCAATAGGCCAAACACAATATCACATCAAGACAAACAAATTTTACGTGGTTCGGCAAGTTGTCTACGTCCACGGGGCAAGGAGGGGGTTCTTTCTATTAGAAATCAAGAGAATATAAATAGGACTACAAATATCATCAAATAAACCCTAAAACAAAGCCTCTAGATCTCTTACAACTCTCCCACAATTGGATGCAACAATCCCCTCTCAAATACTGCTCACAACATCCTTGTTTAACCCTAATTAATTAAGATTAGGGTTATATATCAACTCAAAAACGAACCGGGTCAAAACCTGTAACCCAATTTAGAACCGCTAAGCGGTCGACCGCGACGGTCGACCGCACCCTCACGGTAGAAAGCAAAAACGCATACAAGGTCCTCACAATCGACCACAACGGTCGACCGAATCTCATCCCGAGACCAAAATCCATTACATGGTCTGTGCGGTCGACCGCGGCGGTCGACCGCCTCACATCCAGAAATCCTCCTGAACCTCGTGCACGTTTCCGGTCGACCGCAGCGGACTCGCGGTCGACCGACCAACTCCCTGGTAGTTTTCCTGTCTGTTTCCTGAGCTGTTCTTCGCCATGTTCGCCAATCCTTCAAATCTCCACTTCGTTGAACTTTCTTCCAAAACTGAGCCGACACCAAATCATCCAAATGTCCCACTTATTGCGTCCAGGATGAAGTGAAAACAACTCATTTCAACGGACTCAATACACAACAAGTCGGGAACCTAAACGAGAGCTCAAACACTCTCCCCCCATCGAAATCAACAAATCCAAACCGGCTGCATCAACCAAGACTGTCTACGTATCCTCTTGCCCAAGGAATCAAGCTGAAAGTAGTTCATCCAAATGTTCTCCAAAGGCTCTCTACACTAAAAAATATTCAATAGCTTCAAACAATAACCAAATTTCACACATGAAACAACTTTGGTCAACATATCCACAGGGTTGTCCTTCGTGTGGATCTTCTACAATATGACGTCTCCATCATCTAATATGTCACGATCAAAATGGAATCTAACATCAATGTGCTTCGTGCGTACATGATAAACCTGGTTTTTTAACAAATAGATAGCCGACATGCTATCATAATATACCCGAAGGGTCTCCTGTGCAATCTCCAAGTCCTCCAACAGTCCACGCAATCACAAAGCCTCCTTAACAGCTTCAGTCACTGTCATATGCTCCGCCTCTATAGTAGAGAGTCATTGTAGACTAAAGTGTACATCTCCAACATACCGGTGCTCCTGCCAATGTAAACACATATCCTGACGTAGACCGGTGCTTGTCAAGATCCCCCGCATAGTCTGAATCCATGTAACTAATACAATCCTGCTCATTCTTTCCACTCTTCTGGAAAATCAATCCAACATCCATGGTGCCTTTAACATACCATAGAATCCACTTCACGACTTCTTAATGACCCTTCCCGGGGTCGTGCATGTACCTCGATACCATGCTCACGGCCCGTGATAAATCACGCCTCGTACACACCATCGTCACATCAAGCTACCCACTGCACTGCCATATGGAACCTTCGACATGTGATCTCTATCCTCAATAGAAACATGTGACATATTAATTGAAAGCTTAAAGTGGGGAGCTAATGGAGTGCTAACTGCTTTTGTATTGCCATCAAAGCTGAATTTCTTCAACATCTTTCACAAGTAACTCCTCTGTGTAAGCTTCAATCTCCCCTTCACCATGTCTCTCTCGATCTCCATATCTAATATCTTCTTTGCTTCTCCAAGATCCTTCATCTCGAACTCGGATAATAGCTCCTCTTTCAACTTTCGAATAGTCGAAGAATTTCCGAAAGCAATAAGCATATCGTCAACATATAAAAGCAAATATATATGCTCACTATCCTGTAGCTTATGCATGTAAACACATGGGTCATATGGGGTCCTCGTGTACCTATGGCCAATCATAAAACTGTCGAATCTCTTGTACCACTGTCGCGACGATTGCTTCAAACCATAAAGAGATTTCTTCGGCTTGCAAACGAATTCTTCCTTTCCTACAGCTTTGAATCCTAATGGTTGTATCATGTAGATCTCCACATCTAAATCTCCGTGTAGAAAAGCTGTCTTCACATTCATCTGGACCAAATCCAAATCCAGCTGTACCATCAATGCTAATAAAATCCGAATCGATGAATGCTTCACAACGAATGAAAATATCTCATTGTAATCAACGCCCTCGAGCTGTTCATATCCCTTGGCAACCAATCTGGCTTTGTACCTAATATCCCAATAGAAGATCCCTCCTTCTTCGTATATACCCATTTGCAACCAATAGCTTTCTTACCCTTAGGTAGCTTTGTAAGTTCCCAAGTATCGTTTTTCTAAAGAGATCGCATCTCTTCTTTCATAGCTTTCCTCCACCTGATCGAATCGGGGCTAGACTCTGCCTCTCCGAATGTGGATGGAACCATATCATCAACGACCTTCACTGATAATACATATGAGACTATGACATCATTATACCTAGTTAACCGATGAATCACCCTTCTAGGTCTATTTGCTGCTATAGACTCCTGAACATGACCATGCTCCTGAGTCTCACAATCCACTGTATCCTCTATCTGCCCGGCTGTCATCCCATCTCCTCCTAGTGTCACCTCTGTAGGAGCCTCAATGGATACAATGCTATCTGGAGTGGGTGGAGTCACATCATCCTCTACTTGCTGCGATATCTCTTGAATCTGGTCTTCCTCCACCTGCCGAGGAACTTGAGGCCTCATCATATACGCCTCATCAAATATGACATCCCTGCTAATAACTATCTTCTTGTCCTGTAGATCCCATAACTTGAAGCCTTTAAATCCATCTCTAAATCCCACAAAGACTGTATTCCTCGCCCTTGGATTCAATTTATCATCACTAAAATGATAATAAGCAGGATACCCAAATATCCGAAGCGACTCATAGTCACTAGCTACCGAACCAGACCAACGCTCCAAAGGAGTCTTCCACTGTATCGTAGTGCACGATAACATATTAATGAGATGGCTCACATAAACCAACGCATTTGCCTAAAAGGATCTAGGCAATCCACTCTACGTCATCATACATCACATTTTCTCTAGCAAGATACGATTTAATCTCTCAGCCACTCCGTTCTGTTGCGGTGTCTCTCGAACTGTGAAGTTTCGCCTAATGTCGTGATCCCGGCAAAACTATAAAAACGGATCACTTTATACTCTCCACCGTTATCTGAACGCAGAGTCTTCACTTTTCTACCTGTCTGCAGCTCCATGTTCTTCTTCCACTCCACAAAAATATCCAGGACCTCATATTTATGCTTCATATGGTATACCTAATTCCTCCTGGAATAGTCATCAATGAAAGTGACAAAATAGTTGGCCCCACCAAGTGATGTGTTCTTGGAAGGGCCTCAAACATATGTGTGAACGTAATCCAATATACCTTGGATGTTGTGAATAGCGGTGCCGAACTTCACTCTAGTCTTCTTCCCAAATACACAATACTCACACAACTCCATCTTGTAGGTCTTAGCACCTTTCAATAGCCCCTATTTCTGTAGAGATTTATCACTTGTGTGTCCTAATCTTATATGTCATAAAGTTATAGTATCCTCCTCTGTAGTGATAAAAGTTGTCAGACCCCCTATAACTGTCTTGCCCTACAAGTTGTATAGGAAGTTTTCCCTGACTCCTCGCATCACCACCATAGAACTCTTCATGACCTTCACGATAGCATTCTCTAAGATCACCCGATAACCAGCTGCTTCTAAAGTACCAAGAGAAATGATGTTCTTCGTCAACTGCGGCACGAACCTCACTTCTTTCAACTCCCACGCCACACCATCATGCATCCTAATCCGGACTAAACCAATACCACCAATAGGGCAAACATGGTTATTACACATAAGCACAACATCCCCTCTTTCCAGCTCCCCAAAGCTGAAGAACCAGTTCCTCCTTAGGTATATATGATATGTGGCTCCCGAATCCAACATCCAACATCCACTTTATCTTGATCCCTAAATAGAGATAAGTCTACGCCTAACACGCGTTGCCGGTTAGTCTTTTCCCGTCAAAATGACAAAGGCTATGTATTCAAAATCATAGCATCAAGACTAAGAGAGTTCATTCTCTTAGCACAACGTTACATGTGGAACGGACCTA